TATTGTAACATTTCTCTCCAGGTGGCACTTTGTTAACAACAATTAGATCCTGATTGATCTTTGAAGGGCTAATTCTTATGTGGTTTGCAAGGGTCCTACAAGGAGCAAGTGTTGAGTGGGGGCACTTTAAAAGTATTAGTGAGAAAAAAAAAGAAGAATAGTGCCATAAGAAATTTGCAATACAATGCCCGAGCCTCCTTTGCACCCCATAGTAATTTGTTCTTATTCCTGTTATTATCCCCTCGGGCACTAATGGTCACTTTATTAATTAGTTGAAAATTGCATTCTAGGTCAAATGGCAGCTTTTTTCCCTCCCATTGTTGCAAATTGCTAGTGGTATGGCCCAGTAAATGGCAGTGTTACTGCAAAATGGGAAAGATCCCTTGCTTTTCAAGATAAAGCCCACGGACCAGCTGCACTTTCCATGACATTTCTAAGCAGAGCATTTCCCCAGGCCTGCTTTTAAGCGGTTAGAAATTAAACAGAACTCACTGTCATTGTTAAGATTTCTAATCATAGGCTGCTACTGTATTTGCTCTCCGTCTCCTCACCCTCCCCCCCATTTTAATTCTAGCTGAGCCTGCTTTCTAAGGTGCATCTCTGCAGCGCTTGGCCCCATTTTTCAGGAAAGCAGGCAGTGTGTTTAGGTGCCTTCGTTTATGGTGCTCTAATGGAAATGCTTTAGAGACATCTGCTTCAGCAGGAGAGGACAGATGCTCAGTGATTTCTGAGAAATAAGGTCCTCTCTATGGCATCTGAAGTTAGAGACTAAAAAATTCAAAATCACTCTTGAAAACATTTGCTGGCTTCTGAACGCAGAAATAGACCAAACCACAGTTTCAGAAAACAAAATTGGAAATTACAGATTTTGTGCAAGCTTTTCAGAAAGAAAACTCCTACTGAGGACAATAGGTGTTTAGCCTTTAAACCGGAGGATCAGCCCACCAGAAGTGAACATCAAAGCAGTCTATTTTCCATTAACTACTTTCTGCAGCCTACTGTGCTGGACGCAATCTGTCATGCGAGTTTGTAGTCCGGCAGTCAAGAAACCTATCAGAAGTCAGGTCTGGGCTAATTTCCCAGCACTGTCACCCTAACACATCTAAGAGGATGCGGTGAATCTGAAGTCAGTTGTGCAAGACATCTACAATAAAACATAACCCTTAATTCCTATTTTTCAAGTAATTATGGCCTCATATCCTCTTAATCTTCTTTTGCAAAGTTACCTACAAATTGATTTGTTACCTTTTCTGGTGGACCCAATATAAAACCTACAGAATTCATGGAAAACAAACAAAACAAAACAAAACAAAAACAAACAAAAAGCATCCTCCCTCTGGCCTTTCTGAGATTTGACTGAAGTTATAAAGAAGACTGAGGAAACTCTTTATGGGAGGAAGATGCTACAAATTTTCTTACAGAAACTTCACACGTTACCCTCACATACCTAGAATTATAACCATTTGAGGATTGACACTATTCCTTTTTGAAGGATATACCATATCCAGCACATTGAAAGGCAAATGCATCTCAACCCCCAGCATGATAGGGCTGGACACTCATCCTCTCAAAAACTAAATGCTTAGGGCTGGCACCAGCTGTAGCCCCTAGTTAGCATTACACGGCACAGTTAACAACCCCTTGAATCACTGCACTCTGGGAGCACAAGCAACAGAAGAGGAACATTTTTTTTTTTTGGTCTTTCAGATCTTAATTTCTAAAACAACAAGCTATCAGCCTTGCCGGTTTGGGCTCTCTCTACAGACAGATGGGAGTGTTCATCACAGAGAGGGAGGGAGGGAGAGGATGGAGGATTGATCAAGCAATAACATGTTAGTGGAAACAAATGCACAATCACAAATTTGGCATTTCTTTCCTACTCCCAACAAGCAAGTATTAGGACACACAAGCTGGCTCCAACTAGCACTTAACTTTTTCTTTTTTTTAATGATATTTATTAAACTTGCTTGAAGCAAGAATTTCTTACAGAACTATTTGCTGTCAGAAGTTAATACAGTAATCACTAATGCAAAGGAATAAAAGTCTGCTCTCAAAGTAAAAGGCAGGTTATTAACTACTTCCATTTGATTACTTCAGGAAATCATTCAAAATGTAACCTTTACATAAAGCATAAATCAGTCACTGTCTAGACTTGCAGAGGTCATGTGAAGTTGCAACATGAATGCAGAGTTAATAAAAAAGAAAAAATTGTATTAAGTGTTTTGTAACCACAATGGAAGTACAGTATGCCCTAGGTTTGGTAACTGTTTTTAAAAAACGGAACTTTTGTTCTAGATGCACTGACCACCATCTTAATGCTCTGTACTGTTAGGTAGCACCTGTGTAACTGCTCTCCGTCTTTTCTTTGGAAATGCAATACCACAAGTGGATTTTGTGGAACCTCCCCTATTTACTACTTTATGCAGTCTGTTCTCTGCACAAGGAAGGTAGAGGAGAAATTATAAAACACCTACAAAATAAAGGCTTTCTCAAAGACAAAAGTATTGTAATTTGCCCAAAGATGGTTAAGATTCTGAGTCAGCCTTATCACTGTATTCAGTAAGCAACACATTTAAAACCGGTGATCTTTCATATGCGTATTACACTAGCATGCCTCAAACCTGAATAAACTTTACACAAATTGAAAACCCTCCAGCAGAATGTAGATTAGAAGGACAAAGCATCTGATGGGTAATTACACCAGAGGGCAAAGATGATTATCAAAAAGCAGCATGTTACATGTTTGCATCCTTTTAGATGAGCTACATCTTCATTGCAACTGAAAATTAAGGAATTCTCAGAAAATAAATACAGAGCCTGCTGGACTTTGTTTGCTATTAGCAAACAAACTGTCCCTTGACTAGAGTAAAGATGTATCTGATAAAGGTAACTCCTGAATAGTTACCTTGAGATAAATTTTCCATATGCCAGAAATGTTTCTCACACAAGCTTCTTGTTCACAAGTTTCTCATCACAGTTCTAAAAATTATGATTGTTTTCACTGAACAATGACATTTTGAGCTTTCTATGGCATATTTAAAAATCACATCTGAGGTCAGAGCAGTTCTTGTAGTACAGCTTTGGTCTTTAATAAAAGTCCGAAGGCCAACTGCATAGTTGGGTACTGGATGGTTAAGACTGAGTGCATCATTCTCTGTTTAAAAGCCTCCAGTTATCAAGCATTGTCAGATGCATTATATCTAGGATTGGTTTACGTGTCTGGTATTTTGCGTGTGTCCTGTCATGGAGGATATGAATACACTTGAAATACCAATGTATTTCAGACTAAAGTTCATGCCTAGAGTAAGCATATTGCCTTTGAATATGTAGTCTTTTATCTTGTAACCAGTAGTAATAATAAGGCATTCAGTAAGTGATTTAATTACCAACTACAGCAGAATAAAAAGCACAAAGATAAAAGCCTAAAAATATAAAAAGTTGTATGTTTCCATCTTACTCTCATCTTTGTTTCCCTAGATGGTGTGTTTTTCAGGTTTGTGAATGTAGCAGATTAACAAATCAAATCCTTTACCTCTGTGGGACTAGTGAGAAGTACTTCAAAATGTAATCAGTGCAGAGAGTCTGTTGAGGATGCTTATTAACGAAACAATTTTGATATCAAATATGAACACCTAGTGCAGAATGCAACACCCTGTGACTAAAATTCTGCAGTCAGCACAGTTCTTCGGCCCCAGTCTCCACTCCTACTTGTAGTAAATTGAGACATGGGAGACAGATCTTTTTTCAAATGCATTAGAGAATTTTCAGTTGTGCACTACCATAACTCCTACTCATTGCAAGATCAGGGCCAGTACTTGGCTTCGATTCCTAACCTGAATCACCAGATTTTTTTTTTTTCTCTCTTTCTCTCTCTCTCTCTATATATACACACACACACACACACAAAATATTTATTTTCACAGTTGGCACAAGTGAAAAATAACAAAAGAAAACCAACATCAAACCATTAGTCTTTTTGGCCATACTTATCTCTCTCTCTCTCTTATTTTTTTTTTAAACACTGTCCAGTTACTACAGCACCTACAGCCAAACTTTCTGACCACTTGTTCTGCCTGGGTCTTGAATCCCACTGTCATGGAGCAGCACGTGCGGGCTGCTCCACAAGGGAAGGCAAAGCAGCAGCTGCCAGTGCCAGTGCTGGCAGGGCAGTGGCATCACTGGTGAGGGTGCAGTCCCACAGTACCTGAACAAGAGCAGGGCAAGTCTGATGATGGTAACCACGTTCACACATGTAATCACATGTTCTTGTCCATAATCACCGTACAAGACCACGGTGATGAGGCACGTTGACATCTTGGGGAAACCAGGAAGTAAAATGTCTGCCTGTTGGTCACTTCTGTTGAGTCACAGCTGACTGGTATTAATCAAATTACCCATGTTAATCAGTATTCCCTGAATCTTCTTTCATAAGAGCAGCTAATAAACACACAATTCAAGTGAACGTTTGATGAGAGTCAGCTACACTTCACATTGGCTGAAGAAGTTAGTAAGCAATATAGCCAAACAAGAAATAAGAAATGCTTTCCTTGCATTTTCTTTCCTTCACAAAAATAGATTTGTTCACTTCAAATCCATACCAGTTTTTCCTTTTTTTTTTTTTTTTTTTTTTTAAATAATTCAAAGTATCCCTGCAGTCCATGTATTAAGGAGACATTATTAGACTGGAAGCTTTAAGGATATTTCCTTGTATACGATGGCCTTCTACAGTCCATAAGCTTTACAGTACTCTAACCAATCTAAAGTTCAGTGAAGAAAACAGCACCTCTGTGTTTCAGCTTCCTGCTTCTACTTTGATTCCTGATGGGAAAAAATCTTTTGGCTTGGAAAAAAATAATAATAATAGCAGCTTCTACTTATGGTCTAACCTTAAGAGGAAAAAAAAAACAACCAACAAACTCACAGAGAAACTAACAGTTCTTCAGTGGCCAGGATAATTATTACCAGCAATTCACAATATACCACAACAAGCACAGCAAAACTCCCACTCTAGCTGTATTTAATTTTATTTATTGAGGCCAACAGAAATCTTTCCCCATATCAGAACCTAAAGGAGGAATTACTAGCAAATTCTGGCACATGGTCACATTCTTTTCAAATACACCATTAAACAAAACGAGATTCCTGAAAATAAAGAACTTCTATAAAATTCAGACCACATCATTCAAAAGGTTTTGTGGAAAGAAAAAAGAAGGAAAAAAATGGGAAAAAAGGCAGTACAATTACAGTCAGTTACAAATCAAGAGGAAAAGGAAGCGGGAATATCCCTATCACAACCAGATCCCTACAATGTATATCAGACACTGCATCGTGTAAAAATAGCATCTGCTCACATTTTTCATTGAGTTAGAAATTCTGTGTTGCTGCCAATTTATTTGTTTAGATAGACTGTTGCTACATGCAGGGTATGAAAGAATACATTTACTGCGTTACAAACAGAGAAAGGAAATAATACAAGGAAATAATAGTATCAAGTTATATACATCTGACAATACTATTCACTTTAACACAACACGTATACTAAATTGGAACTAAATTCCACTGACAGTTGGCTCAAAGGAATTACCTGCACAAGGCCTAAGAAACACATCAACTGAGCAATAATGGACTAAAACCAGCAGAGTTTATATTAGTTATCATTATACCATAAGGATAAATCTAAGTTGTGAATAGCTATAGTACTGCTTATGAAAATAGATTTCAAAATGAGAGCTAAGTTTTCTCTTTGGAATATAAAAATAGCATGTTTTCCACATGCTAAACACTTCTGAAGACATTTGAGCATAATTATGTACTATTCTAAAAATCACACATCTCAGAAGTATTAAGAAAGTCTGTGTGATGTGTAAGACTAGTGAAAATTAACAGGAGATACCTGATTGCCCTACCTGTACTCTGTCTGTCCATTTACTTGTATCTCTCAGGACTATCTAGTATAGAGTGAAATCATTGCTCCACAAACATCTGTAAAAAAGATTGTTGTCAACAAAGAAAAGTTGTCAACAGAGAAAATATTACACATGTGCTTCAAGTAGCTGTCACTTACAAAAACATGAGTGCATTCAACTTGTCTGTTAGCTTTCTCTTAATTTAGAATTTCTGCCAAAATTACACTGGCCAGAGGCTCACACTTCCACTTTTATTTTGAGGCTATCTAAAGATAGGTTTAAGGACTGACATAAACCTTAAATGTTTCAAAAATTACTCATTGCATACGGAGGAGAATTCTAGGTATTCTAAAAGAGGACTATGTATTTGACTCAGCTCTGAAAGGCCCCAAAAGAACCGGACAGCTGCAGCAGTTTTATACATATAAACTGATTTTAAAACTAATCTAGAGTGTTTCAGCAGTGCTTTTGCCCTTTTCTCTTTTTCTGAGACTGAGGACCTATGAAAGTAAGCCAGTATGACTTCCCCCCCCCCAAGACCGGGCAATTTCATCCTCATATAGCATAAAGGTTTCACAGAAGAGGCATAACAGTTTTTCCAATAGAACTAGGTGAATTAATTAAATTTGTGCAGCCTTTTAACCCCTAGGATTGGCTTCTGCTTTTTAGGCATGATTTTTTAATTACAAATTTTTTAATCATTGTATAACTCTGTCAATAACAATTTTATGAAGTGCTCCAAACAATACTTACTGTATGAAGCCTAAAATACATAAGAATTGTTTTGTTACATTCCATAATTTACTTCAGTAAGCAATAGTCTAGAAAACCAATGTATACAAAGTAAAACCTAACTGAAAATGATGCATGATAAAATTCTGATTAGAGCCTTCCCACCACCACTACTTAAAGTTTTTGGGATCTTCAGCATACAGACTTTCATAACAATGTATCTTGTTCTCTTATCCATTTGCATTCACTTCCAGTAATAAGTAGGGTCATCTGGGCGACCTAAAAGACAAACAGCTGTGAGGAGCCAAAGAAGACACCAACAACAGCACTGAAAAAAAATATATTAACAAAACAAAACAAAACACACAGTGAAAAGCTACAGTACTCAAACTGCTCATGAAAGACACAAATTAATGAAACGTGCCTGAAAGGCAAGAAATACTTTTCATTACATTTTTCAGTCTTGGTAACATTTTCAGTCTCGTTTTCAGAGTGTTTCCAAAAGTATATCTTCAGATTTATAGGTGTCTCTGAAAAACCTGTCCTAATTGTTAGACATTTCTGAGCATATGTTTTACTATCTGAGCAAGACTGTGGACCACATTTATTGTGGATCTTTATTTATATGACTGAAGATGCAGACAGGCATCTACCACAATTTTATAAAGTTTGGAGCCCCTTGTTCTTCTTTCAGAAAAATTAATTTCCTCTGTTTTTCTGTTTGCATTTCTTCTCTTAGTTGTGAATTCCCTTAGATAGTTCAATGGAATTTAGAGACAAAAACAGGCGTTAGACAATTTCAATCCAGATAGAAGGCGCAGAATATTTCTTTTACAGTAACACAACAGTAATCTAGAAATTAGATTCATCTAGAAATCTAGTATCTGGATCTAGTAGATAGAAATAGATATCTACTATAGAAATCCAGTATCTGAAGACTGGCCGTCTACCAAACCCACAGACTAACAAGTCAGGAAAACAGATGATTTAGTCCTTTTTATGAACACTTTGCTTAAAAGGCATTTGTTCTAGTCTACCAATCATTTGGCTTGAGGAAATAAAATCAGATAACTTTTGTAAACTTCACTCAAACCACCCAAAAAAGAAACAGTAGATAGAAATCTAGAAAAGCTAAAAATACTACACATTCTGCAGTATGTAAAGTATTGCTATTTTGATAAGATACACATTTCTGGTGTAATCTACTTTAAAAAGAAGTTAGGGTCTGATGCAGGGTAAGATTTTGTGGTCTTTATTATGTAGGTGACTAAAGTATCATAATGATGCATTCCAGTTTCAGTGATTTATGTACTAACTATCCTGGTCAGCATTTGTGCTCTGAACCTTCCGTTATGCAAATCTTAATGCAAGCATTATTGCATCTGCTACTCTCTGTCAGTAAGGGTCATGAGATAGTTTTCAGATATAGATCTAATTTTCAAATGTTTATAAAAATAATAAACATGGCAGTTAAACAGAAGTATGACACTGAAATATAGTTTTTATATCAGTAAAATCTAGAATGATGATCTTGAGAACTATTAACAAGATACTCAATGTTATTCAAAACAAAAAAGAAAAATTAGCTGAGACATGATAAATATTAACATCATGGTTCTGAGTACCTACAAAGTTTTGTTCTCGTTCAACACCACTGACATTGGTGAAAGTCCTTCAAGTAAAATAATTTCCAGGTCTGGAATGTAAAGAAACTTGAGGAAGTGTTCTTACTATGCTGAGAAAAGCTTACATGTCAAAAACAAAAATCTGTCACAATTCCACATAAGGTATTTTAATGCAATTTCAAATGGTTTGGGTTGTAGTGGTATTAAATTGTGAAATATACTTATTTTCTGAATGCTATGTCAAAGAACAAGGCAATTAGAAAATCTGTAATTTTTGACTCAACTTATGCAAGGATCAGGTCAAAACGTCATATGCACTGGGTACACTAAAAAGTTTGCTGATTCTTACAGAGATTGAAAAATAGGGAAATGGAAAACTTCTAAAAGCTGACTCTTATGAAAAGCTGCAAACTATCAGATTTAAAAACATGCTCTTAACATTTTGATGCCTTTTTTTTTTTTTCTGCTGCTCAATCTTTTTTGTGAGTGGGAACAGGACATCAGGCTTTCATTTTCCTTTCATCATATACTTCCTATACAAAAGAGAAGAGAGTTTTTTTACATAACTTAATCTATCGAAAATGCTGAAGTACAAAACTGAAGATAGGGTGATTCCAAAGCACATAAACACAGGAAATCCCATCAGTTCCATAAACATCCACTTGAGCCAGGCCAATTAAAAAATCACTACAAACCCAAGAAAAGAATGAAGTTGTTGAAGATTACATAGATGGATACCATTTTCAATTAGGCTGTTGAGATGCAGATCAGTAACGAGCTAACTACAGCTTTAAGTGTCACCCACTTTCTATGTGACCTAAGTGTTGACATTTTTTTTTCCGATACAATTTTTACACTTCATGATTTAAAATGGGATTTGTACATAACTGCCTATTTTTTTTTATTTTTTTTTTGCTTAATGACAGCGATTAAGCAAAGTACCTCTGATTGTTTTAACTGAATGGGTATGCAAATGAAAGACATGAGAAGGATATTGTGAACTCTTAAAAAAAAACAAAACAGTTTCTTAAAAAACATAAGTAGTGTGTTTTTCATGCTGTAATGCTTGAAGAGGGGTTTTTGTTGTACCAGTTTATCAATATATGATCTGACAATGCTGTTAAAAACTGCATGTGCTCTGTTCTATGTTCCTTTAGTATTATATTAACTTTATTTCAAATTAATTAATTTTATAATTAAGTTTATTACTGAAATTGAATCAAAGTGAAGCCTACCTATTTTTTAGCAAAGAATTATAAAGATAAGTCTTTGAATTAGAATTTCGGGAAAGTGAAAAAAAGACTAGTTCTCCTAAGTATTATTTATTGCAGAAGTAAAGCATGACAAGACTCAGATTCTTTCTCTCCTCAGCAATGATGTGGTTCATCCTGCACATTCAACTGAGACAGAACTGCTTAACTAAAAGAGCCAAAAGCAACAGCAACTTTTGGCTCTAGCAGAAAAGCACTGCATTTTACAGGAAGGTCATTTTGTTTCATTGGCAGGTGATATTTACAATCAGTGATGTCATGTTTCAAACTTTTCAACAGGTTTCAGTAACAATGGTTCAACCCTTAAAATTAAGATATAATCTACACAAGACACAAACCACAATTCAGCATAGACGTTCCATGTGATTCATGGTGTCCAAAGTCTTATAACATAGAAAAGTATAACAGAAGTGTGCAAAACTTGTAGTTTAAGTCTTAAAACTTATAGTCAGGAATATCTAATGATGTGGTAAATATACTTCAGAACATCCAGTGTCAATAGCACAAAATAACGTAGGTACACTTAGATGCTACTGTGCTTCAGTTGGTACCTTTAACTTAAATTTTAGTGATTTTGGTCTCGTTGTAAGCTTAGACTCAACATGACAAGGAATTCATTAACACCCTAAATAGCCTCAGCTTTGAGTCATTTCCTTTGCAGTCATATGGTTCAGTTACTCTCTAAAGTTTGTAAAAAGAAATTTTCATAGACATAATGACCCCAACAATAACTATCCCAGCATCTCAGTTTGCTAGGTCGTCACATTTATTCTTTACCGAGGAGGAAGGTGGAATCTTCTCCTCCGGTCTGGATATCCCATTCTATGTTCTCTACCTGGAGGAAGCAGGAGAAGAATTAAATACTGTTAATTAACATTAGAACAGGAAAACAAGAACTTATTTGGACAGTCTGCAAGAACAAAAATGTATTTATGTTTTGAAAAAAAGGCATGTTCCTCTCCAGTTGGTATGTAATCATGGACAGGATTTTGAGAAGTTGAAGGCTAAAGCTCACAATGGAATTGCTCTTCTTTTTACTTGGTTCCATCAGACAGAGTTCTGGTGTTTACCTTACCACAGGCAGATCAGAAAAGCTATAGCCTTGCCAAGTCCCTTCACTATTTCTAATGTATTAGAGTATTGTCAATTTTAACCATTCATATAGCTATTTCAAGTGGTCCTATAGACACTATCTTTACTCTGTCTTTCTCCTGTCTTCAGCTCATTTTTGTGCTTTTCCAGACAGGTTTTCAAATACAAGTATGACAATCATTGCTCAGATGACTGATATGTTTAAATAAAGTTATAGAAGTATATGACAATACACAGATAAGCTTAGACTTTCTTTTGTCTATCTTCTGTATATTGATTTAGACCTAGGTAGTAATTTGTATTATAAGAGAAATAAACGTTTATCAGTTGGACTGCTGAAGAGAGCAACAGAGATACATGGCAATAGTGATTCCCATAGTTCTTAGTGCTCAGTTTATTTTCAGCTATTTACAGAATGAGGTGACAGTGGGATTCAAAACAGTATGAGTGGTCTTAACTACCAATTAATAAAGTTTTATCTAGCAACAGCTAGCACGTGGTGGGCTGTTTTAGCCATGAACCTAGAATTTAGATGGTCATTCTTTGTTACAAACATCTCTGGTACCTCAGGGAATACTTATAAATGCAAAGCACAGAGACTAGCAAGATCTGCAAAGCCAAAATTTTAGATATTTTACTGCTTAATAACAGAAGCCTAACCTTAGCTTTAAATTAGATACCTAGAACGTGTTTAACAAGCATCATAATATTCAGGCACTCAACAGGATATACAAAACTCAGCACGCTCATTGGGAAGTCTTCTAAATTAACAGACAAGAAACACTGTGGATAAAACTTCTACCTCTCTGAAAGGCTTTGGTGTCCTGCTCTGTTACTTGGATGCAATCTCTCAATTTGTGACACATGGCCAATAAATTTATTAAGAGAATGATTGTTTAAAAAAAAAAGGGCAAAACAAACAAAAAATACAAGCTGAATTCCTTTCTCTTAAAACACAGGTAGAGAATTAAATGCTAATTACAACAGATTAGAGGTTAGCATTCACAACAAAATGAGAGATAGCTAAATGTGATTCTTTTTCTGCTTGAGGGTATTGAAATCATCATTTCAAAGAAATACTGCTGCTTCTTTGGTTTATACTTTCTGGCTGGAGGAATACTTTCCTCCACTGTAGAAGTTGAGCCATTGCCACAAAGTTCTTAAACAATAACTGGTAAGAGTAAGCAAGGAATGCCTAATCACTGGGTACTTTTCTGACAGAAGGTATGGTTCCCATGGTTACTGTTCCATTAATTTTTAAGACATTTTATCCAGTGATTTTTATATTATATGCAACAGCAGCAACTATAGCAGTATAGCATGGGAAGATAGTGGATAGAATTGATAGACATCAGTAATAATACTAGGAAGGTTTATCACAAGCTATCATGGAACACACTGTCTACTTTTTTGGTTCCCCCTCCCCCCCTTTTTTTTTTTCCCTCCTCTCTGTGGTAAGAGGCACACATACTGGAGACAACAGCTACATAATGAAGCAAACCAAATACCTGTTTTAATACTAGCAAACTTATGAAAAAGGGAATTCTCTCAAAATGTCAAAAATCTTGGCAAGTCAGTTTAAAAGGAGCTCTAAAAACACTGCAGGATTCTTTTGTAATGACAGATATATTTTTCTAATAGATCTATTTTATTTACAGCAGAGATATTTAACTGCATTTATGGCATCACATTTTAAAAGTGTCCTGAGGGTAGTAAATAAGGCTTAATTTTGCCTGTGTAGAGGAATACGCAATATTTTAATAATGGAATTGAACCATGTTTATAACACAGTTCAGTGCAGTTACTGTGGAACATATTTCATGGAATTCATCTAGTGGTGAGATCTCTGGAGGTGATCAGAGTGCCTACAAAAGTGATTCCTGGATTTTTGAGATGGTCACAATAACAGTGATAAGTTCTGGTTTTTGCTTACAGTGAACACGAACACTGTATTTTAGTATTGACAACCTACATCAAACAATTTTATCTGTGAATCAAACGACAGTATCTCACTCTCAAGCATACAACAAAAGCAGCTGAAACACATTCAAGACTTTACTGTATTTATTTACTAACACTCCACACTAATTGCATCAATCTCCTTTGAAAACTTCATTTAGCAACACAGAAGAAATTTAGGCTCTGAAGACTTCACAAAACAACGTGTCTTTCTTAGACACTTCTCTTCCTTTGGGTTATTTTCTCTAATCTATGTGTATATGCTTTAATTTGTAATAATGAGGAAGTAAAACTGCATTAATATCAGCTCAGTGATGTTATTCACAGTGATGCTTCATTGAAACATCTGTTCAAGAAGTGAGAACGGTGAATGACTCAAGATTAATTTTTGTCAAGACAAAACAGGACTTCATTTCTATTATCTAAGCAATAACCTTGAAGCTGAGACCCTGATATAGAAAATCACTTAAAATGTGTTTAAATTTATTCCCATGCTTAAGTGTTTTATTGAAGTACGAACTAAGATTTGCAACCAAAGACTTTAAACAGACATTTCAGTGCAGCTGTGCTGACTTGTTTTAGACCTGTTACAGCTTTAAACATCATTCAGCTGAGACCAAGCATGGAAAGTTGAAATACCGCAAAGATTTCTTCAGAACGTTGCGAGTAAATAAGGACTTCAGATAATAATGCTACTCTCCACCTTATACAGTTAGTTTCTGCTGATGGTACTACACAACTCTAACTGATAAAAGGTTTGTAACTGAATACTGCCAGCACAGGGTAACTACATGCATACAAACACAAACTGCATAAAGAAACAGCTGTTACATTGCTGATAGAGGCAATTCCAAACACACAAAAAGTTTTTACCTTGTGGTTGAGGACTTCTCCAGAGGAACCCCCTCATCTGATTATGATATGGAGGAACAAAAGAACTTCTGTGTGCTTGTTGGAACCTGGGATTAAATTCTCTTTGCTGTGCTCCTGAAAAACAGTATTTACTAGCCAACTTTGTATGTCAGATTAAATGAAGAATAAAGGAGAGCATATTCTTTTTTGGGAAACAACATTTCTTAGATTTATGCCAAAATACTTATGCTCAATTATTATTTTTCCAAACTGCAGTCAGCCTAATAAGTATGGTTCTTGTCCTCATTTCCATCTATGCACATCATGATTACAAGCTGTTAACAAGTGTATTTAGAAACCAGATCAAAATTTTATGACACAGATTTTGAGACTGCAGTCATTAAAATGAAACAGAAATCTGTCCAAATTGGAATCACAAATCATAATTAAAATGGTTAAGTACTGCTCTCAAGCATTAGCAGAGACTAACAAGATTTGGTATCATAAATCACCAACAGATATGAATGTCCAGCACCAGTATGGTGTAGTATCACATCAGAAATGGACAGAAGTGTTGTTGCAAGATGCAGAGTACTGAACTAGAAGACAATCATTCTGTCTGTTGCAATTTGCTCAATTAATTTTGAAGGGGTAATTTTTATTCTCACTGACATCATACTTGATCAGGTATTTAGCAGGCAATAAACATAATTCCAGCATAAACACTCCATCACATGATGTTCAGCTAATTCAACCATAATGCAATCATCTGCTCATGGCTGAACCAGATCAAATTTGTAGTGTTAGGTGATTCTGTCATGCATAGATTGATTACTATTGAAAGCAGAACCACACCTCCACCAGCAGACGCTGAAACTGTAAAGCAACAACATATACAAATAAGAAGGTCCACAGTTTATCTAATTTATCTATCACTTATACAATTAAAAAACTATCAAAAAAACCCTTCTCTAAAAAAAAAAAAAAAAGCACTCAAGTTTATAAAGTGAAGTTGACATACAAAGGGGTACTAGAGGTTCTTAGTGTTCTGTACAAATATTATCAAAAGCTGAGGACATACTTTTGCTTAATAGAAAAGACTAGCAGATTATGCTCACAGTCTTCTCTGCATTTCAATAATATACACATTCTATTTAGTAACAACATTTTAAAGAGTAATAACGGCATTTTAAAATCTAATAATTACAGCATGATTAATTCAGTGTAATCGAAGCCTCAAAAGCCTCAACAATCAAGCTGATCTGTGAATGATGCTGAAAACACTTTAGATGTTTTTCACTGAGAGTCAGGCAGATCAGTTGGGAAAACTAATGTCCTTAGTAAACCAAGCCATATGGCTGGAAATAAATAAGCAAGGTCTGAGGCAAAAACCCTTCTCCATGTTGCCCAAGAGCTTGCCTTTGTTTTGAACTGTATCAGTCAATCTTCAATGCCTCACTCAGACCTAAGACTATCATAGCTAAAATAGCTCCCCTGGGGGAAAGGAAGAAAAGACTGAGTCATTCAATTATTCCTATAAAAATAACTTTAGTCACTGAGTAAATAGCAGTGGTTTCTGTTACTGAATAATATTTTATTTACTGCATATATCTCACTAGCTATGTAGCTAGATGAAAATATTTTATCCAAACTTGGGTAATCAAATTCATACGAATTCCGAAAAGCAGGAGATATTTTCTAAAATCCCTTCTTCAGTTTCTTGGAGAAAGACCTTATGATTTATTTAGTTGGACATGCTTCCTAAGTAAACACTGCTGCAGTTAAAGAATGATTGAGCTTATCAATAGTATATTGAGAAAATTAACGATGCCAACCTGCGACAAATCCCCTCCCTCTTGGTCTGCTTTGTATTGTCCTTTTCTTCGCCATGCAAGCCTTGCAAATGAGTGACTTCAGGTTCTGGAAGGGTGTATACAAAGACTCCTGCAGACAACAGGGTTAACATTAATGACTGTTCTGCTTTTCTCTCATCAGGTACAGCACAAATCAATCACAGATCTAACAACCAGAATAATTTTCTAAGTCCACACTCATTCATGCACAAAGGTACCAGGTCTTCTAATTCACATTTTTCAGGAAAGAAAATTAAAACATTTCATATTAAAAAAAGTGGACTCTTGGAGAGGTGGGTAGGGCTACAGAAAGAATGCTTTTTCTTCTCTTGATGAAGTTTGTTTTCTCCTCTGCTCACATCCGTAGATTACTTTCTTCCCTTTTTTATTACCTTGCATCTGCAAATATACCTAGCTAGACTTGGTTAGGTCTATCAACACAATACCTCAGGCAGAGATAATTAAAAGCTCCACATAAAGACTGATGAACTGATGGAAAAAACTTACCAGTAAAGAAATCAAAGCATTTCATACATTACAAACAAAAACTAACACAACAGTAACACATCAGCCCTATCTCCAGACAGTTGTTTCCTCATAAAATATAATCTAGTCTAAAAAGATATGAAGGAATTAAATAAGTGTTTATCTTGTGAGATGAAAAGTTATGCTGTCCAAAGGACATGCTGAACCTATTTGAAGACCCAATACTAAGAGATGCAAGAGATCTTTAACTTTTACTGGTTTCAGGGAGCATTAAAGAAGTGTCTTAGAAGCGTTAAATCTTAGAATCTTTTCATGTGCCCAATACAAATAAATAAGCAAAGAAAAGTTGTGCAGATTGAAAAGAATTCCAAAAAGGCAGATTATTCAATATCATAATTTATTTTCATAAAACTGAGCTGATTTTTATGAGGATGATAATCCCTTTTTGCAACAAACAGGGTGGCTGGGGAGCAGCAAGAATGGGAGAGGGATTACAGGATAAGGTAAAAAGCCAATAGGTGTCAAGACTGGAGCAACTAAAGAGGTTTCTTAAGCAGAGGTAAGAGTCTGAATTCCTGAACCCCCTTGTGAATTTTCCTAGCACATTTTTTGTGCTCTTTAGAGATGGAGCCTCAAACACAGCCCAGAGATATTTTTTCCCCCACACAGACTGAGTACAGTCTGCAAAGAACTCCCACTAATGGGAAAATCCTTTCACTGTATTCTTGGGAGAATAAATCCAGAATGTGTTTATGAAGGTTGGATGAAAGACATGATCAAAAAAGGACAAAATATATCACTTAAGACGACCCTGTAAGATAATTTGTTTTTAATTAAAAAAAAAAAAAGTGATCACAAACATACTCCATTAGTGAGAAGCACAATAAAAAGACTAATGAAGTGATAATATCATTGTCTCAATGCTTTATGAGGCCATTATATCCAATTTTCTGTGTGAATAAACAAACTAATATGATTACTGTTATGAAAAACAGAGAACTAGCATAATAAGAACTTGGTACATTTAAAAAACCAGGATGGCTATTCATTATTATCAGAAGCTTTCTATTTTTTTTATTTTTAACAATTTCTAAGGCTAGAGATGAATTACACAAAAAATGTCACAAATATATTAACTGCATTTAATTTTTTTTTTTTTGGTACAAGAATCTGTATTAAGCAAATGCTACAATGTTCAACATTGTTTGTACACATGTAAGTATTTCTGAAAACTACAGTAGAAATACAGTCTTGGTTAAAAGTTATTAATTATATTTAAACCATCATAATCAAAACGACACCAACTCTGAGATCTCCTGAACTCCCTGAAGTAATCTAACTGTCCAGATCTAATGTACATAGAGAAACCCTAGGAGTTAGTAAACAAGCAGGGAACACCAAAAGAAGTAAGTTTTTCCTCTTACTTATCTTTCCAATAACAAAACACCCGCATTGAATAAGTTTTTTTGTTTTTTTTTTCTCCTCTTTTTTTTTTTTTTCCTCCTCTGCATACAATGCTGTAGCTATCATCAGGTTAGATTTATGGTGCTCAAGGATAGATTACTAACAAACAAGTGCTGAAAGATCTTGGCTTCCAGCAGTACGTTTAGCTCTGCCAGGAACTAAGGACCAATTTTATTTATTAAGTTTAATTTATAATAATAAGAACAACCAATCATATGCACTTGTTGCCTTGCCAGTGTCCCTAACTAAACTGGCATCTCTTGGCAATTCTCCCCAAACCAGATTCTTGCCTCTCAAACTGATAAGCTGCAAAGCTATTTTATTAGTCTGGGAACACTCTCTGCCATATATGTACCATAAAACTGTACCTAAAAAATAAAAGTTATTTAAACTACTCTAAAATTTAATGGGGCTAGACTATTTTTTCTCCACCATGGAACAGTTTATCTAGGGTTTGTTTAAACTAGAGCATCACGCCTTTTAAAAACCTAACTTAGATATTCTAGTTGATTAAGTCAACCTCCAGCTCTGTTCTAGGAATCTAAGCATATTTATCTCCCTTCAAAAACATGCTAAAATATAATTTCAACATTAGGATTTTCAAATGTTAGATATGTTAGCTAGCACGCTTTAGCTAAGAATATGTGTCAGCCAATATCAATTTTATTCAGATTTATGTATTTTAAAACTAAATAATCTGAATTCTTCTCAAATGGAAAGAAGTAACAGTTTCATACAGGTTTATGTAGTTTTCTAGTTTTCCATTTATTCTTCAGACCTTCTACTGTTCTGCAAAAGTTCTACATGAAAAACTGGATGAACCACTGGAACAATCTAAAAACTAGTGAAATCAACGACTGATCAGTGGGAACCACAACGTTTGGATAGAGGCTACAGTCCTAATCATACAATTGACTCCGTATGGAAAGGATTATCATCCTCCTGCTGAAAAAGAAATATATTCCACCCACCCACATGTGTTCCACTCATCACTCCAGTTCAGGATGTAATCTAATTAGATACAAAATTGGAAAAGCAAACTAATTATACCACAACTGATATTAAATGTACGAGGTTAATATTACTGAAAAACAAAATCTTCTCTCTGCAATATTTTTTTTTGAGCCTCAAGTGAGGCTTAAAAGACAGTATGTAAAGACAGGTAAAAACACTTTAAACGTAAATCTTTCAGAAATTATTAAATGATATGGATTTCCCGGTTCCACAATGAAAACAGAGATACAAATTTAAGGTCTTAAGAGCTATCTACACATGCTAATAAAGAGCTTCCCAAGCTCCCCTCCACATACTCTGTACTAGTGGGACATGAGCCAGTTCTCATCTAAGGCTTCACTGGTACACTAATGCAGCACGACACCTGGTCAGGTGGATCCCATGTCTGATCACAGCCACCTTAATGCATCACATATGGCCCATACCCTGCAAGACTGCTGCTACCTGTTTGCTTTTACCAGTGCAGGCCTGTTTTAAATCCTACCAGTTTTAGGTAACATAGCACGCAAATGCAAGTTGTCCAAAACCCCAGCTTCTGAAAAATAGAATTGTTAAGTACTTAAAGGCACAGGAAATTACTTGGTGGGATTCTATTAAAAATACCTAGATATATACATATACCTTCCTCTGATTTTAAGTTCCCTTAAGTACCTTTGAAGCTATTACTCTTAAATCATACCTACATGTAGTATGCTTCTTTAAAATACATTCATATGATTTTGCATAAAATCATATAGAAAAAAAATCTCGTTAATATCTCAGTATTAGAAAACTGTTACAGTAATTTTCATTTTTTGAGATTGACAACTATTTTGATACTCCCTTGTATTGTTTTCTGAGATTTGGAAATGAAAATAAAGGCAAATTTATAGCTTCCAGCATAGTACCAATATTTCTACCTTTTTATGTTGGTGAGAAGGATGAAACAGGAAAAATTAAGAGAGGAAAAATACAAAGGAAGGACACAAAGAAAGTAACAACATTAAGATTTATGTATATAAATACAGACAAATAACTTTTTTCAAAAAAAATACAGAACTATCTAAGAGAACGTAGTTACTCACATTGCCTTCCAAAAGCTCTTCTACAGAGCAACTTCGGTGTGACCGCTGGTATTTTTCTTGAAAAAGTTTTCCATCAAACACTTTCCAAGGCATCAAGTCGTCCATTCTGAATGGAAAGCCACAGGCACTATTGGCCATAAGCAACGTTGTAAGGCCACGAATAAAGACAGCACCAAGATGCACAGCTCTGGAGTCCACTTCCATGAGCTGTTAACATTAGAAGAACAAAGAAATAGGTTTAAAAAATCAAGGAATATAAGCAATTTTAACATGACATAACCATGCAAACAGGAGAGCAAATGATAAATAGCCCCCAAACTGTGACAACGATGGTTTCCTATTGCACAGTAGAATTCAAAGGATACTGTATCTAGTTTTATTAAATAAAGTGAAAGAAGTTTGAGATAACAAATACAGCATCATACTTTTTTTTTTTTTTAAATTAAAGACAGATACATTGAAAATGAAAACTGAAAGACAAAAGAAATGACTATTCTCTATAGCATTTCTCAAACATTAGCAGTTTCCCAGAAGGAATCCTGTTAGTGGAATGCAAAGGCATGTGCTGGGAGTATAAAAAAAGTGATTTGAACAGTGGTCTGTTGCCCTTCCCCAGCTTGATCAACTGGTATATGTCACAGCACTTAGAGATCATTTAAATTATAAGATTTGACAGGATGAAGTTTATTGTGCTCAGGCTTCAGAAATACTTTAAATGCTTTAAAATTTCCTCTGAGTGCAGACTGAAAGCCAAGTTATTTCTCCTCAACATGGATGTCTCTAGAAGAAATACAGGAATCATATGACAGCATCCAGAAAAACACAAAATGAGAAACTCAATGAGACAATTAAAACTTTTGGCCAAAATAAACTTGATGGGTGAATTTGAAATCCTGTTGGGACAGAGCATAGCAAACTGTAAAAGTCTTGAATCTAGTAAGTGGAAAACTGGGATTTTTATGTATTGTATAGGCTGTACAAGCTCCTCAGTGGGGAATGCCTCTTCTACAGTCTGTACCATAGCAATCTGTCAGGACAGGAGGGATTCACAACAATGTGACCATCGATACGGTAATCCACAGCAGCTGTTGTACCCCTAGAGCACAGCTTTCCTTCAGTGCAAGTTCTACCAGGAACAGAACAGCATCCATAACAGCCCAGAACAGAAAGCACAAAGAGGTGGCTCAAATTTGTCTCACCCATGGTTCCTGGGGAGCTGTGAGAGTTTTGTCTGAAACGCATTGGGTTGGCTCACCATTACCAACCAAAATATCATCTTATAACTGAAAAGGTTCCCAAGAGACTTACAGGTATGCACACACATTGTCACTGCCCTACATACACATATAAAGAAAGAGATAATAACATACAACACAAAATATGGTACTAAAATAGATCAGAACCACATCCCTGGCACCCAAAGTCCACATAACAAAACCAGAAAACCTTTGCTAACAACACAAAACCACAAAACATATTATGAAAGAGCCAAACAGTAAATAGTTTGGAAGAATATAGCCAGAACCTGGTCAAAGACATAAGCTTTCTGTATTATTCAATAAGCTGAAGTCAGTTAAAACACAGACAAGAGGCAGTACAGTTCCGTTAAGCCACCTTGAAGAGAGATGCACCTTTATTAGCTGGTTTGTTTATATTTTTTTCCTACAGTGAAGAAGCAAAAGAGGACTCAGAGGTCCATACAGACAAAAGATACCAGGCAGGGTGTCCTGAGCCCTGCTTATCCAGAACCCTCTTGGAAGAACAGCTGCCTCCAGTGATTTCTGCAGAGACATCAAGCTGACCAGCTGGACACTGGTCCACGGTGACACCCAGTACCTGCAATTCACCCAAGAAAACTGCAGACAATCATGGACAATCAGACAAAGGCAGAAAACAGGAGCTAACTTGAGCAGTCATTTAGAAAATGAAAGGCCCATCCTTCACCTACTGTGATACTTCATACTTCAGTAAGGAAGACCTTCTTCTCCTCCCCCATTACTCACTTTAAAATAAAAGCATTTTCAGGATGGGAGGCTGAAACTCATTTTCAGGCTGTGAATTTCAGGAAGTTACTGCCTCCAGCTGTTAGTAATCATCTTCCCAGCTGAGACCAGTAACTACATGCACACTTAAAACTCTCTTGCGCTGGCAAGTAAAGCAGGTTTCTGCAAAGCACTTTGCAATGCTGAAAGGTACTTAAAAAAGGAATGTGGTTAAGTGAACCAGTATTATTTGTACTAAAGTAGACTGTAAAAGCGCACACAGACAGTTATTAGGTTGCAGCTGAGAGATGCTTAAATCACACTGACTCAGTCATTTCTGATCACCTGGCCAAATCTCAAGACCTTCAGAAACTAGTTCACGTCAGTCCATGCTTTCAGATAGAAGCTGTTTGGTTTGTGACTGAAGTAAGACTTTATGAGTGCAAATCCAGTGAGGGAGAGCTGCTGGGAATCTTCACAACTCCCTTTTTTATAAACTAATCCAGGCAGGGAGTTCCTTCAGGATGTATGTACCCTGGTCTCCTTTGCAATGCAGCAATAAATTAAACTTCAAATAACTTCAATAAAATACTTTGACAAATACTAAATAAGTACAAAATAAGGTTAATTTTTTTTCTGTTTAAACTATATGGAAAATGGACGTATCAGGCTAAAATTAGCAGCAGAGTCCAAGAACAACAGTTGCACACTAATCAGCTGAATCAAATTTGGCCAAATTTGTGTTGGTATGACTCATACCACCAACATTTGCTTTAATATAGATACTATAGATATTTATTTTTTATTCCCTGGCACACAAATCAGTATCTTCTGTCATTGGATTATCAGTAAGTACTGATAACATCAAAAAAAAAATAATTGCTGAAAACACACTTTCCAAGACTAGCAAAAGCAGGTATATAAGCTGCTGAAAAGAAAATAGTAAATGCAGCAAGAAATTTCTCATCTTCTAATTTAACATCTGTGTACTGGATGCCTATTAATTCATACCTTTTAACATTTATTAATGAAGATCTGCTCTTACTGTCCATTTTAATCCCACTGGTACCGAGGATGTAAAACAGCTGGTAGGACAAATTACCAGTACTATACATAGATGCTGGATGCCATCTGGACCACAAATCTTTAAGATAAAGATTTCAAATCTTTATTTTATTGTGTTCTGGAAGCTGTAAGCATACACCCAACACAAGTATGTGATTAACCCAACTTTCTTCAGTTATGTTATTCAAATTAATGCAAAACAAATGCATAGATACTTGCAGAACAAGTGTCTAAACAGGAACCTGAAAAAAAAATTGCTTTTGATGGTGATGCACAAAATCATCAAATACAGAAAGGGACTTTGAAGTCCCAGTTTGATTGCCATCTCAAGCTGGAGATCAGTGTAGTACTGCCATTGCTACCAGTTGTTCCTTCTGCCTAAGTGAGTATGAAGCCTGAGCTACCAACACAACCCCAGCTGTACTCTCCAACTACAGCTGAGGCACACAGGTTAAAAAGATAAAAGAAAGTTGCTGGTGACAGCTTTTACAGGTAGAATGTTTCACTGTCCAAGGACATCAAACCAGAACTTTTCTTAAACACTAATGTAATGGGAGGACAGGGACGAAGGGAAGGCTTGTTTTTTTTTTTTTTCATAGAAATCAATATTGGCAAAACCGTGTCAAAAGCTACCAACAGTGATTTCTCTATTTTAATGAGACAGGAAATACATTCACTAAAGGGTAGTTTCTATTTTCTATGTCTGGCAACGAAAAACAAAGAAAATGAAAGCACAGCGAGTCTATAACAATGAGCTTGTGCACATGGCAAACCACAGACTTGCTTTGCCATGGGAATGCTCACAACTGCTTGGTGTCTGCAATGCAAAGACGTCACGATGAGGATAAGTGGAAAATTCCAAAAGAAAAGAAGCCTTGCCTTCCAGGGCATTACACCCTAGAGATTAGTTCTTATTGGAAACTGTGTCTGCTCTTTTTCCTATTTTTATAAACTCAGGACCCCAGTGAATCATGTGAGATACACCCCTGTGATCCTGCTGCTGCTGCTTCTACCACCAGCTGATGACACTTGCACGAGGGGGGTGCGTGAGAACCGCTCCTCCTGCACCAGCCGCCTCTGCTGTGCTCCTGCTGCTGCTCCTACCACTCAGGGCTGGGGAGACAAAGATTGCTCTTCCAATTTGCCCACGTGAAGACTGAGGAGACAACTCCAAGGTCACAGTCCTCTCATAACAGTGCATCAGAGGTTACTGATACCGTGCTTTACAGGCCTGAGATGAACTGGTAACCCAATTTGAAAAGAGACAGAGAAATGTGGTAGCCACATCACTAATGTCAACATTTGTTACAACAATTTGAGAAACACCTTTGCTAGAAGAGCCATTGTCAGGGACTGATCTCACACCATGCTTTTTTCTGCTCTGCACAGTGCTTCAGCTTATGGACCACAAGCTTGGGCTATCTCTGTGCTTGCATGCATCTCCACTGACCACAGAGAGAGGCTCTGCATGCAGGAACCATTTGCTCACAGGAACAGTTTGCAAATCTAGACCAAAACACATTTTCAGAATGTAAAAGTACCTTTGTGCTTTAAGGAAGAATTTTTAGCCCCCTAAGTCTTCTTTGTGGATTCACAAATTACTTCTTTGAGAGAGGTATGAACTTGTATGTGCTTCAAATGCTGCACTTTCGTATGGTAGGAGTATGGCAAAAACAACCAACCAACCTTGCAGTTCTTTCCTCTGGAATGGTAAAACTGAAGATTTTTGAGGATTCACATTCTGTTAAAAGAATGAATAGGCTCTACCACACTTAAAAGGTAAGGGTAAGTCTCTGAATATGCCTAAGGTCAGAAGAAACAAATGAAGGCCAGAAGCGTAACCAGTGGCAAAGCTATCTCATTATCTTCATTTCTGGAAAACAGGAACAATATAGAGATGGTAATAACTTTACATTTATTTAATTTACACTTCATCTGTACCTCAATGCTCCAAATACTACATTTCATTTAAGAACTGGTTCTTTTAGTAAGATTTTTAATAACATTCTGGGGACATACATTCATTATATATATATATATATATATATATAAAATATTGAATCTTGGGTTAAAGTTTTTCTTGCACATTTTTCCCTAATCTGTTGCCTTCTTTCTGTGGTTATTTGAATATAGAAGATACAAATATGATTAACATTTTAA